TGATTTTTCTGGCATTGAAAATTTAATAAATAAGCAAGAAAATTATTTTAAAGTCTTTATCTTTTTCTGAATTTAAGCAAATAGGTCAAATTTATCTTGAATATATAGAAAAGGACATCAAAAGTTGGGGTATATGATGTAAATTTTAGATATTACAAAAGAAAGTGTCAATTTTACGTTAAAATTGGCTCAATTTTTTCCCCAATTTTCAGAATATATTGACTATATTTGTCACACTTTGTTGATAGAATTCATAAGAAATAATTTAATAGATATTTCAGAACCAGCATAACACATGTCACTGCAAAAAACAGCTTTGTGCAAAACCAGGATGGAAAAATAGGAATCCAAAATTAAGAGTACTGTTATAGTTCAAAATAGAAAAACTGATCATTTTTGTCTAAAAAGCCTTCCGCCACAAAATAAAGTCCCTAGCTTAATTCTACTTGAATAGAATTTAATCGCGGTTTTGTCATTGAATATAGTTAAATTTGCACTGTAGAATTCAGACTTAATGTTAGAACTTAAAAATGATGCAGAATTTTATAAATAAAGGACCTGACCAAAATATGCTCAAAATCACAGGATCGAACGTCTTAACTATAAAAGACATTAAGCGATTGTGAAGATGAAGAGGAAACAATTTATCATTTAGTCTGGGACTGTAATGTTGTTCAACGATTTAAAAAAAATATCATACGTTTCAGTCAACCAAAAGACATTAAATTGAATTTCAATGCCAAATCATTAATTTTTGGTGAAAAAAGACGGAAATGAAAATACAGAATTCATGTACTTCAACACTTTGTTGATAATAATGAAACATGAATGATATTTACAAAGTCCGTCGTCAGAAAACCTGTCCATCGATACAAAGATTTTTTTCTAAATTTACTTAATTTCTATTTTAAAGCTTTGAAATTCACCGTAAAAGATGATAAAAAACTGATAGATTTTAATACTTTATGGCAGAAATGGGTTGTTATATTTGATTAATTTACTTTCATTGTAATTGTTATCATCATTTTTTTTTTTATTTCTTTATTATGTTACTTGTAAATCCCTCACAACTGCGCTAGTCTTTCTCCCAACTCCCTGTCTGTTTTTTTTTTCATTTGGTGAGATTTATAAAGAAAACTGAATATGGTTTAGGGCACAATATGTAGAGATGAAACCTAAAGATAGAGCTTACCAAACCCCAACCCCCCTCTCTATCTCTCTCCTCTTAATAAACTTCCACACTAAGTTTGTATATGTTTTATATACATGTAAATAAATAGTTAATCTTGTTTGATTGTAAATATATCCATACATAAGTTGTGATGAGGCTTGTAATATGTGTGAAATTTTCAAAAAAAAAAAAAATCGATGTACTTGAATTAACGGACTCTGATTTCCGCCAAAATCGCTAAATAGAAAACACCGCTAAATCTAATATGTTTACAGTATTATTATATAGTATATAAATACAGTCACACATATATAATAAAATAAATATGGACTCAATGCACGGTCAATATATGACAGATATTGACCTCAGATACATGGAGTATATCGACAGGCCCGATCGATATACTCCATGTATCTGAGGTCAATATCTGTCATCCTAGGTCATCATAAATGCATATTGATCTTACATTGAATCCATATTTGTATAATATAGCCGTATTAGCGAGATAAAAAGTCGTAGTTATGAGATTTATCAAATACATATTATCACAACTTACGAAAGTCGTAATTGTCGGATAAAAATTGTGTTAATGTTCATGTATATTGCATCTTAATAAAGTAGTAATAACAAGATAAAGGTCGTTCGTATGACTTTAAAGTGTTGTAAATACGAGATAAAAAGTCGCTAATACGAGATAAATGTCGCAAAAAATAATAATCGATATTATGACTTACTAAGTCGTAATAATGAGGTAAGAAGTCGTTCTTAAGACTTAAAATTGTAACAATGGGATGAAAATTCGTTTAACAACTTACACAAGCCGTAATTACGAGAGGAAAAGTAGATATTACCACCTAATAAAGTCGTAATAAAGACACAATGTCTTTATTACGAGATAAAAAGTCGTTACTACATAACATCGTAATAATGACATTTTTATCTCGTTAGTACGACTTTTTTCATTTTTCTAATTTGACCTTTCTAGGCTTTCATATAACTGTACGAGGGTTATTCAATAAATATTGTCCTCAGTGCTCGGAAAGAAGCAAAAGACGCTTTTCAACGATTTAGTCTCCATGATTTAACTTATTAATTTCTTTTAATTAAAACACATGTCCGTAACATATTTTTAATCCAATTTCTGATTGTTTTAAGAACTCATTTTTGGGTATGACCCTTAGTATACTGGAAAATGGCAGATCCAATGATTTGCTGGCCCCAAGCCCATAAACTGAGAACAGACTTAAGTCAAAAATTTGACTTTTAATATCTTCAGTTTTATTGACCTATTTAATTAAATCTTAATTTGCAAAATCAATATCAAAATTATTTCCAAAGTTATACTAGTTTGAAATTTTGACTTAAGTCTGTTCTCAGTTTATGGTCTTGGGGCCAGGACTTGTTTCTTCCTTCTGAAAGGTGTTTTTTCAAGTTTCGAAATAGAAACAGGTCAAAAGGTCAAAGATCTGGCGAATATTGTTAATGTGGAAAAACATTAATTTCTGTTTATCTATTTATCCCGAAAACACCTTTACTCTTCAGGGCGTGCGGGTTTGGACACTGTCATGAAGAAATTTAATGTAGTGGATTCCTGATTCTGGGTCCTTCCTCTAATAAGCCTTTCGATTTTTTCTCAACAAAATTGCTTTCTAGCCTCCTCCAGAAATTAAATTGTCTCCCCGAATACGTATTTTGAACAACAATACCACTTATATTAAAGAAAATTGCATATAAATCTGTCTTTGTGCTCTCGCAATTCTTTGCTCTTGTCAGACCTTCGCTGTTTTTATCAAGTACATGTAATGGTAAATTTCGTTTGAACAGAAGATACCAGGACTTTCATACTTTTGACCTTAGAGATTTACGTACTTAAAAAAAAAATTTAACATTAGCCATAACTTTTGGACAAAAGGCTAGGGCTTTCCTGCTTCAAAAATGTAATCTTTATGTGAAGACGCTTCAATGAATACCAAAAACTTTTACCCTTTGACGTTCACCTTGGAGTTTGACCTTAATGTACAACTTTATCCATAATTTTCAAAGGGTTAAGACTAGGAATTTCATACAAAGTTAATCCTTGTGACAAGACCTTTCATTTGATTTCAACAACTTTGACCCTCTGACCCTGGAGGTTTACCATTTTAAACAAAAAAGTCTATTTTTTTTAAAGGTAGATATTAGGAATTCTCTATTTCAAATATCAATTCATTGTGACAAGACCTTTCATTTAAAGCCAACAATTTTGACCTTGATCTTGAAGCTTTCCACACTTACGAAAAAAGATTAACCTTGGCAAACTTTTGAACGATAAAGGATAGGGCTTTCATACTTCCCAAAAATAACCCTTGTGGGAAAAACTTTCATTGAATATCAATAACTTTGACCCTTTGACCTTGGAGTTTAACCTACATTTTACAAACTTCAACCTTAGCCATAATTTTTGAACAGCCAGGGTTTGAGCATTCATACTTCATATATGTAATTCTTTTGACAAGACCTTTCATTGGATATTAACAACTTTGGCCCTTTGACATTGGAGTTTGACCAATTTTACACATAAAATCCAAAGTTTTACTTTGGCCCTTTTTTTGAAAAAATAGAGACTATCATCTCTTTTTGGCAAGACCTTTTATTTCAAACCAGCAATGTTGACCCTTGACCTTATAGATTTCCCTACTTCCGAATACAAAACATCTTTAACCTTGGACATAACTTTTGACGCTAAGGACTAGGTTTTCATACTTCACATATGTACTTCTTGTGGGTTAGGGTTAGGACCTTTCATTGGATATCAAGAACTTTGACCCCTTGACCTAGGCCTTGGAGTTTGATCTGCTTTTTAAAAAGTTATTAATTAAATTACATACCCCCCCCCCCTTAAGAAGGTTGTTGCGTTTCTTTTACGTGTCAGTAAGGTTCGTGTGGATGTCATGTTTTGGGAAGGGTGACTCATGAAAATAGCGAACATTTGCTACACAGGAACAATTATGGTTCCACAGTATGCAAGTTTGCATGTCTTGTGCTTCTCTTTAAATTTACAGCTCTCAATTTTTCAGTGAATTAAAAAATATTATCTTACTTCCTCATACATTCAAAGAAATTACAACGCAGAAAATTATATTCTATCTTTTCAGTAGAGGTCAATGAAAAGTATTTTTAAATCAAAGGCTGTTTGTAGTAGCTTTATAATTTAGGGAAATATCACGTTTAAGATTAACGTGGAAATATAATGTTGTGGTTACTTTTGTTTACAATGTTTCACTGAAATAAAAAGGTTCTTTATATGGTAACTATTTTATTGCATTGTATTTGGAATTTAAAAATATGCATGTAATTCTGTAAAAATTTGAATTTCAAACCTTAAAAGTGGATTCTTTTAAATTATGATATACATTCACACTAATGATATTTGTGTTTAAACTAGAGATACTGTGAGCGAGGAGCTCACTAAATGATACCCCCGCCTCCATATAGTTAAAATTGCAAAGTCCATGTTTTGCTGTGTCCGGGAAACCAAAAATATGTTTCGGATCAAAAAGTAAAATAGGAGGTGCACATTGGCAATATGTAATAAAGATTCTGTGAAAGTTTCATCAAATTACATTCAGTGGTATGAGAGGAGTTGCGGATAAGAGATGGGTACCCCAAAGCGTATAACAGACGGACGGACGGACGGACGTACAGACGGACGGACGGACGGAATTAACGATTACTATATACCCTCCCGCTATTCGAGCGGGGGTATAATAACGCATTATTAATATTTTTATGTTCGATATTTTATTCTATTTTTCAATATATTCTATATATTCTAATTTTAGACAGACTTAGAATTCTTTGATGGTTTGTTTGAGCAAAAAACATTTTAAAGAAAGAAAATCAGAAGAGGATAAGAATGGCCTATCAGATTTTGTCAAAATATCAACAGAATTTTACGCGTCTAGGAATAGTCTGTGTTGACGAGATAAAAGCAGTGTTTAAAGACAGTTTTGAGAGTCAAATCAAGCCGGTAGATCTTTACAATGCCATTAATTCGTGTCCACAGCTAAACACTGGAAAGGACAAACTAAACCTCTTTCAGCTTAAAATTTGTTATATATCTCCGCCACAAGTTCCTGACTATGACATGTTCGACGTTTCGCTGCTTTATAAACTGATACGAAATCTTTGTCCAAATTTAACACCGACAAAAGGATGGGGAAAAACACCGGACTCAAATCATTTGCGAATTGGAGATGACATTGAGCGCTTCAGGGATATCCGAAACAAGATGTTTGCGCATCTAAAATCTTCGGAAGTTCCTGATAACATATTCGTTCAATTCTGGAAAGAGCTGCAAGGAAGCTTTCATAGAGCTCAAAAGTTTATAACGTCATTTGGATATAGCGTTAACTATAAGGAAAACCTCAAATACATTGAGAAACTTGATTTGGGTTGCGAAGACTTGAAACGATACAAATTTCAAATGGAATTTCTGATGATGTTGAGGAATCAATCACAAAATACAGGTTAGAAATTCAGTATTCGTCTTAATATTGCAGTTGTTAATATATATATAAATGTATTTTTCTCGAATATACCTTTTGCCATTCAGATGTTCCAAAGATAAAAGTAAATGGAAATACCAAAGTTAACTGTGGAGATGATGCGCGTTTTCAGGCCTTGACAGAACATTGTCCTAGCAATCATAACTGGCCAATTACTTGGGAAATAGAAAAAGGGAGTGAAATTAAAGTCATTGATATAAAGAAAGAGAAGTACAGGGGCAGTTCCAGCACAGAATTAGTTATAAGGAAAGTTGTAAAAGAAGATGCCGGCGAATATCGGGCAGTCATATCGCGAGAGTTAGATGGAGAACATTTTAAGATTTTGAGTAACATTCTCAAACTAGATGCCTTAGGAGGTAATCAATTAATTCTTATCACGACTTCTCTGATCTTGTGAAATTCGGGAACATTAAATAGGGATTTTATTACATAATGTTTTACATTATACGAATTATATAATTCTTCTTTCGTTTATATCTGAAGTATTCCTACAATGAATCAGGTTTTTTCCTTATTTAAGAAGAATGTCCTAGAGTATTCATGTTTCAAAATGCTTTTCAATACATGAATACCGGAGATTCGTCGATCCAAAAATAAGAATGATGTTAAAAAAATCTTGGATTTAAAAAAATTGTTGGTTTATTTTTTTTTCAAGGAATAAGAATTTCACGAGTTTTCAAATTTAAATTCTTTATAAAGTACCAATCAGTATAAAAATCATACGAGAGGAGTAAAAAACTGTCTTTCAAACTAATATTGTATTTGAATACCTTAAAATACCTTAAAACACTCATATACTTAATAACCACGGTACCCACCACCACCACCACCAAAAAATGCAATAACCAGAATTTAATAATCGGTGTATAAAATTTAAACCCGATGGCCTTTCTAATTTTTTTTTTTCATCGCCTGGCAAAAAAAATATTCCTATCATATGTGGTCCCTACCAGCCGATTTTTAAAAAAGGTTTATTAGGAGAGTAAAAGATGAATGTACAAAACTATATTTTACAGATCTTCCAAAACTTGAAATTTCTCAGGCAACTTCAGCGAAAAATTGTGTCATCATTCATTACAGTTGTTGCGTTCAAAATACTTCAAATTGCCTAAATTCAATCCAATGGACTCGAAATGGAGACCTTTTGATGATAAAAACAGCAAAGTACAATGGAGGTGGTCTTACAGACAAATATCTGAAAATTTTCTCACCAACTGAAGAAGACAGTGGTCAATACAGATGTAAACTGTCAAATGCTGTGGGCTCCGACGAAAAGTGCATAGTTCTTGGTATTTATCCCGCTTTATTAAGGAAACGTAAATAGTTTTTGCTTCGATAGACTTATATGTATTCATATTGTAAATATGTCATAACATTTGCATTTGGATTATTCGTTGGTTAAGTAGCAAAACGGGCAGTAGGGTATTTCACTCTTTTATGAAACCTCATCCCACCTTAAATGCCTCTTAGGTCATTTTTCCTTTGCTGTGGGATTTCATTGTGTATGAAACATATTCAAATAACGATCAGTATTCAAGATCAATAGCCCATAAAACAATACAAAATAGCAGAGCAAACACGGACCTCCAAAACATCAGAGGTGGGATCAGGTGCTATAAAGGAGTGGGCATCCCCTCAAATGGTCTGCCTACCTGTCACACCCGACGTGTGCTCCTTGTCGTGACATGCATATAGTTTTTTTAGCTTACATTCTGTTTGTTAATCCCCATGCATTTCATCTTTTTAATCGCAACTTTGCAAAATTACAGGAATTAAAAGTAAGTAAAAAGAAAGTAGGAGGCTGAGTTTTGTAAGAGGTGTCACTGCAATTCATGAATTTCTATTGTTATTCAAAGTTATTCCAAACTTTTAAGCTGGAATACATTGTGAGCGCATTCCTGCCCAAATTTCTCAAAAGGACAGAAGGTGTAGAAATGTTGGAATTACAACATATTTAAAGGACAATTTTGGGCAAGCCTGCGCTCGAGGTAAACTTTTTGAAAAAAGGTACAAAACGCCGACCGTTTTCTTCCCTATTTACTGGTATTTACATGTCATTGACCTCATTGTGACCTGTTTACTATTGCAATATATCACGTGATTTGTAAACTCAGGTAACTTTGTAAATACAAAAAATCAACAAGTAGAGCTTTTCAAAAAAGCTTACCGTCTTTAGCAACAATTTTAAACAGTAAACAGATTTACACTTAACAGGCCGTATAATTCTTTTGAATTTCTTGATTTTGTATTTATATATTAGCTTTTTACGGGCATTAGCCCTACCACGGTTGTCGCTTGGTCATCTCCGTAAACTTTGACTGGCCGAGAGCTGATTTTGATTAACAAATTGTAAAGCCTGCAAGCAATAACTATCAAATTTTATTTATAATGAAATTAAAGAGACCTTTTTATTTATTGCTATAAAAAATATCATGTTATTAAGAAATAATTGCTGCTAATTTTGTTGTTCGTTTTGTCATTTTTTTAAGAATGGAAATCTTGCAAAATTGTTAAGTCGTACGAAAAATAGACCATCAGAAAGTTATCTCCCTTGCCTTGAACAGCATTTCAACCAATGAAATAATTGAAAATTTTCTCATCATGCAATTTCTACCAATCACAAAAGAGAGGAAGTGCATAGTCCGAAGACTGTAAAAAACTTCAACTATACAATACCGTCTTCCAAGGAAGACGGTAATAAATCACGTGACTGTAGCTCCGATTGATAACATTGCATCGAAAAGCGACCAGCTTGGTTATATCGTTACATGCATGTGCATGTACATTTTAAATTAACTAACATCGAATTCTTTTCGTCTTAGTATTTTTATAGAGTCATAGAATATAAAATTGGACAAAATGTAATGATATTTATTTAAGTACATGTACATCCCAGAGCAAGATCCCACAGCGTCCCCCCACCCCCACCCAAAAAAAGAAACTGGCGTGAAGCTTGAGAAGTTCTTTGGGTTTACTTTTCTGTATGTAACTGGCTATTTATACATGTTTTCAATCGATCGATAAAATGCCCCGCCTACTCCGAATATTAATGTAACACAATTAAAACCCAACTCGGACAAGCGCAACATTCCGGAATTAACATCCACTAGAGGGCTTTTTTAATTACCTCAAATAAAACTAAAGCGCCGTTTTCTATGAAAATTTTTGCAAATATAGTACCACACTGATAACAAAATATCGGTTAGGTGTAAAATTATTAAGATTTGAGTTAATTAGATAAAGTTAGATGGGTCCGAAAAAGGGGCCACGGCACTATGCTTAAGTGGAAACATTCTTTGTCAATCAAGAAAAGGTTCATGCTGTTTATTATCTCAGAACGTATTGTGCTATTATCCTATGTAATTAGATTCAATGCTATACTCAATAGATAACAATCCTTTTATATAATATAATTCCTTGTATAAAATTATCATCACATACCGGTAATGTGTATACTCGTATGTAGAAAGTATGTTCAACACTTTTTATGGTTTTAGAGATATTAAGTCTTCTACAATGCAGATGGACTTTACTGTGCAAAAAAATTGTTGGATGTTCATTATTTCATGACATTGTTTAAGACCCAAGTATTAAATATACTCATAATAATGTATTTCTGAATTTAGGCAAAATATATGCAAATACATTTTTTTTTATTAAAAAAAGTTTAGCAATTCATTGATTCATCATTCATATAAGTGAAAGATACAAATTGGCATCAATGGATAAAATATATTTTATGTGCAGGTGTTCCGGAACTACAAATGTGTGGACAACATACAGACTTATTTGGAAGTAATGTCATCATTGAACCTCATATTAAATCTTGTCCTCCCGTAGATGAGGCAATCTGGCAAAAAAACCAAGTCTCATTTCCAGAAAAATTCCAAAGCATTCACATTGATGATCCTAAATATTTTGGAAGCAGTAGCAACCCCAGAAAACCTTTTCTTGTAATAAGGAAAGCTTCACACGAAGATATCCTTTGTTACCGTCTACAAGTTTCAAATGGAATTGGAACAGCAAGCAGAGTAGTCTCTCTTCGGTTAACTGGTGGTAGGTAGCAGAAAATGTAACCATTGAAAGAAATATACTAGTATATGTAAATATATATTATTTTACTACACTTACCTGATTTGACATAAAATTGACACTTATTGTTATAGTGCATATTATGTTTCTTGAAAATGCTTCTGTCAGAAATTGTCAAACATTTTAATTTTTGATATATACATGTATGTACCTGATACATAAAGTACAGATCGCCAGTGTTGTGGAGCGAAACTAACCCATAAAATGAGTTTTCCTACTGGGAAGGTTTTTCATTCTAGAGCATTACGTCCCCCTAAACTAACTGTAATGCTCTTTTTTCCCTACCTGGAATATTTCTATTGATGCAAATGCTGATAAAAACCAAATACCTAAAGCAAAAGGACTGCCAACTTACGAGAGCTTTTCAATGAATAATGTCCTCGGTGCCCAAAGAGGCAAAAGACGCTTTTCAATGATTTAGGCTAAATGATTTAACTTAACATTCTCTTTTAATAAAAACAAATGTCCGTAACATTTTTATCTAATTTTGATTTTTTTAGATCTTATTTTTGGGTACATGTATGGCCCTAAGTATACTGGAAAATGGCAGATCCTATGATTTTCTGGACTTGTTTCTTCCTTCTGCAAGGTGTTTTTTTAAGTTTGAAAATAAAACAAGTCAAAGGGTGAAAGATTGAAAGATCTGGTGAATATTGTGAATGTTAAAAACACTAATTCTGTTTATCCTCAAAACTCCTTTACTCTTTGGAATGTCCGGGTTTGATCGATGTAATGAAGGAATTTAATGCAGTAGATTCCTGATTCTGATTCCTTCCTCTCATTAACCTTTCGATTTTTTTTGCAAAAAAAGCTCTCTAGACTCCTTCAGAAGTTAAACTGCCTCCCCGAATACGAATTTGAGCAACAAGACCACTAATATGTAAGAAAATTGCATATTTATCTGTCTTTGTGCTCTTTCAATTTTTGGCTCTTCTCAGACCTTTGCTGTTTTTGTCATGTACATGTATGTTATTGTAAATTTTGTTTTGTGGGTTGTAAGCAATAAATTCAAGTTTAATTATCTGTTTGAATTTTAAACAAACGTTGATAACTACAATTACTGTTTTTTTTAAATAATTGTTTTAGTATTCTTACACGCTGTTATTTTCACTCATTTTCAAAATGTAGGGTGACTTTTGAGTACTAAGCTTTTTTACTGTCAAACGTTTCTTTAAAACAGTATGATCTACCCCCGAACTGATGTCTATCAATTTTTTATGTGTCTAAAAGTCAATCATACATCATCAAAGATTATTTGTTGAAATTTGGCAAACAGTACATTAGTTGTTATAATTTTTTGTTTGCAAGGTCGGTACCCACTTTTTATGCCCATTATATTATTTTTATCCCATAATTACCTCTTTATCCGTTGATATAGCTCATGTGATATCGTTTTCGTAACCCACAATAGTGACGTCACAATGGGTTTTGTTTTAGCATAATGAAGTAAGATAAAGTGGAATCCTATAAAAAACAATGTAAAACACTGATTGTGGTATATAAAACAAAGTGTAAAACGTGGGATAAAAAGAACTTTACATAATTTGTAGTTGGATATCATTTTTTATCCAGCTCGTTGTTTTTGTATCCCCTCACGAAGGCTCGGGGATATAAAACACACAACTCGTTGGATAAAAATTATATTCAACTACAAACCATATGCGATCCTATATTTATCATTGAAATCCAACTGCTCATTTGTCTATAAAACAGATATTGATCGCCGTACACATTTTACAAATTTCAGTGAATATTTCTTTGGGAGCCTTAACAAGTTTTACAGCAGCTTTACTAAAGATTTTAATTTAACTCTAGTTTACTGAATCGTTACCATTCAGTTTTAATGCAGTGTCTCGAATAGACCTTGTTTTCCAGCTTCTCACAATGATACTATGTTTTGAAAAGTGGTCACATAAATTCATTAAAGATTCAATAATAAGAGAAAGTCAAGCCTAATTTCATATGATATCTGTATTGTATGTCATACAGTTAAAAACATTAATTATTGAACAGCCCTCATATAACATCACAATGGTTATCTCCTTGCAATTGCAGCGCCCTCATCGGGATGTATAGAAAGTTTCAAAAAAACTTCCTGTAATGAAATCAATTTCTTTGCACCATGTATTGTTGCACGTTTTAAGGAAGTAACAACAAATTAGAGCAATCAATCAATTCTCTAAGCTTCCACTGCATGAAAAGTCGCGTTTAATATAATTTAATAAATTCGTTTACTCCAGTAAATTTCTTGTATTAAATTTAATTTATGTATAACGGTACACTTTACATGAGATATATTGTGATATTATGCCCCCGTAAACGAAGTTTCGGGGGTATATAGTTTTTGTCGTGTCCGTCTGTCTGTCTCTCTGTCTGTCTGTCTGTCTGTCTGTCTCTGTTTGTCTGTTTGTCCGCAAAAACTTTAACCTTGCCCATAACTTTTGATGTAGTGGAGCTATGACTTTCATATTTCACATGTGTATTCCTTGTGACAAGACCTTTCTTTGGGTACCACCAAATTTGACCTTTTGACCTTGACCTTGGAGTTTGACCCACTTTTACATGAAAATTTTAAAATTTTACTTTGGCCATATCTTTTGAACAGTCGAAACCAGGACATTTATACTTCACATATATAATGTTCGTTGAAAGACCTTTCACTGGATACCAACAACCTTGACCCTTTGACCTTGACCTTGTAGATTTCCGTACTTGTGAAAAAACTTAAACCTTGGCCATAACTTTTCTATGGTAAGGGTTAGGGCTTTCATACTTCATATATGTAATCCTTGTGAAAAGACCCTTCATTGGATACCAAGAACTTTGACCCTTTGACCTTGACCTTTGAGATTGACCCACTTTTAAAAAAAGCAAATATTGACCCTTACTTTTAAAGATTAGGGCAAGACCTTTCATTTGATAACAATAACTTTGACCCTTTGACCTTGACCTTGGAGTTTGACCTATTTTTTAAGAAATTGTACGTTGACCATAACTTTTGAACAGTAGACACCAGTATATTTATACTTCACATATGTAATGTTTGTTGAAAGACCTTTCACTGGATACCAACAACCTTGACCCTTTGACCCTGACCTTGTAGATTTCCTTACCTGTGAGAAAACTTTAACCTTGGCCATAACTTTTGAACGGTAAGGGATAGGGCTTTCACACTTCATATGCGTAAACCTTGTGAAAAGACCCTTTATTGGATACCAAGAATTTTTACCCTTTGACCTTGACCTTTGATACTGGCCTACTTTTAAAAAATGCAAACATTGACCGTAACTTTTAAATAGTTAGGGCTAATGCTTTCATACTTTACATATTTAACTCTTGTGACAAGACCTTTCATTTGATAACAAGAACTTTGACCCTTTGACCTTGACCTTGGAGTTTGACCTACTTTTAAAAAAAATTTAGCCTTGGCCATAACTTCTGAACGGTAAGGGCTATTGCTTCAATACTCTCCATAAGTATTCTATGTTGCAAGAGCTTTCATTTGATACCAATTACATTGACCTTTTTACCTTGATCTTGGAGATTTTTGTACTTATTGAAAAAACTTAAACATTGGCTTATTTTCAAATTTCTGGCTTATTTTCAAATTTCACAATTGTTTTCCAGTGAGAATACCCTATACTTTTTGTTACCAATTAATTAAATTAGCATTTAAGAAAAGCTTAATCTTTACTATGTTGCCATACGGGGGCATCAGTGTTTCACAAACACATCTTATAATTAAGTACAGTTTTCAAATAAGTATAATCATATTTAATGCAAAATACGTCGAAAATAATATAGTTTAATTGAGAAAATTATACGTTTCGTTTTAGAATATCGACATGTAAAAGTAAATTTGCTTATACTTAAAGTTTAAGTACATTTTTGGTATTTTGAATATGTCATAAATAATTCTTTATACCTAATGTAAACTTATGTTGAAACATTTTTGAAAAAAAATATTAAGGCACCCTATTTACCTATTTATTTTAATTTATTAATTTCTCATTTTTATTTATTTAACCCTTATGTAGATTTTTCAAAACCGTGGAATATAACTTAGTTTTTATGCCCCCGTAAACGAAGTTTCGGGGGCATATAGTTTTTGTCGTGTCTGTCTGTCTGTCTGTCTGTCTGTCTGTCTGTCTGTCTCTCTGTCTCTCTGTTTGTCTGTTTGTCCGCAAAAACTTTAACCTTGTCCGTAACTTTTGATTTAGTGGAGCTGTGACTTTTATATTTCACATGTTTATTTCTTGTGACAAGACCTTTCTTTGGGTACCACCAAATTTGACCTTTTGACCTTGACCTTGGAGTCTGACCCACTTAAACACAAAAATTTTGAACTTTTACTTTGGCCATATCTTTTGAACAATGGATACCAGGACATTTATATTTCACATATGTATTCTTTGTGGAAAGACCTTTCATTGGATACCAACATCCTTGACCTTTTGACCTTGACCTTGGAGATTTCCGTATCTATGAAAAAACTTTAACCTTGGCTATAACTTTTGAACAGTAAGTACTACGGCTTTTATACTTCACATATATAATTCTGATGAAAAGATCTTTCATTGGGTACCAAGAACCTTGACCCTTTGACCTTGACCTTTGAGTTTGACCTACTTTAAAAATACAACATTTACCATAACTTTTTAAGGGTTCGGGCTAGGGCATTCATACTTCACAAATGTATTCCTTGTGGCAAGACCTTTCATTTGATATCAAGAATTTTGACCCTTTGACCTTGACCTTGGCGTTTGACTTACTTTTTACAAACATTAACCTTGACCATAACTTTTGAACAGTAGGGGCTAGATCTTTCATATTTCACATGTGTAATCCTTGTGACAAGACCTTTCATTGGATATCAAGAATCTTGACCCTTTGAACTTGACCTTGGAGTTTGACTTACTTTTTACAAACTTTAACCTTGACCATAACTTTTGAACAATAAGGGT